TGGAAATGTAGGTACTGGTATGATAAATCAGAGCACAATAAGCAACTTTTCTGAAAGTATTTTTAAGCAGACTGAAATTGGCAATACTGGAAAGTGTGTGAGAGCCTGATTTTGTGAGATTAACAGCCCAATTTTCTGTCCAAGTAGGTTCAGATAAATTCATGTGACTACAGAATAATTATACAGTGCTTATCTGGCTGAACTTTTAGTCCTAAAGATTCAACATTTCTGGAAGGTTTGCTCAGCTATGGAAATCTTTAGTGAGACATTTTAACTGCAAGAGCACAGGCAACATCAGCTGATAATATCTGCCATTTCCAAGTCTCTAGGATCTCATAAATGTACTCTCTTGTACTGGAACGCCTGCTTGTAAAACTTGCCTTGTGATAAGAGAGGTATCTTTTTCTTGTATTTAAAACAAGCACTGTTAATGAGCTCTTATGCAATGTTAGTCAAGGATCACCGATGCACGTAACTTCTCTTTGTTTCAATGAGAAAATTACATTATGCGTATTTCAACAGACAAGAAACGTTTAATTCAGTGCCCACATGGAAAACGTGCTATGAATAATATTCTACCCAAACTTAATCACACTAGAGTTCAGTTTAATCCAGACAAATATCATGCTCCCTGTTTAAGGTAGTCATATATATTATCATTAATAAATGACTTCTTTTTTTTTCTACATTTATGCTGCTTGCAAAGCAGCATTATCTTACTTTTAATATGTTGATCTCTTGGAAGCATTTGCGTTCTTAATGTGCTCTGAAATTTGTAGGCTAAACAGCCTTCTATTGAATCTCTAAATGTCATGACACTAAAACATAGATTAAAAATTGATTCTTGTGTTCCTTTTCACTTTTTTTTTTTTTTTCCTGCAGTGCTGTACCTCCACTGATACCTACTCAGAGCTTTGAAACTCCTGTATTTCGCTTTGTAGGCACTGTTAAAGCTCCTGGTTGCTTAGCTGTAGTGCTAGGAGTAGCACATCTGCAAATCCTGGGCTGGTGGAGGTGATTGTGGTAGCCCTGCACCCATATTGAGCTTGCTCTCTGAGGAGAGGCAAGATCCTGCCAGATTCATCCGGATCAGAGCAAGAGAAGAAATGTAGAAAAGAAATGTGGCTGCTCCTCTGAGAATGTAAATATTTGGGAAAAAAAAATCCACCCAGTTCTTCCCATATTCCATCACTAGCTTTCTTAAGTCCTACTCATTTCTTTCCAGCTACACTCACCTTCCTCTTGTTCACCTCTCCACCAYGTCCAAAAGCTGCTTGTGGAAAGAGCTGTTCTGCCATTTCCCAGGATGCAAATACCATCTGGCTTTGTGCAAAAACAGCAGTTCTGGGCAAGCATCCTCATGGAGTAATCCCGACTGGGTCTCCTCAGAGATGTAGGAGAGCTGGATTCTGGAAAAAAAACTTGTCAAACATCCATTAAGATCAACGGGACCCAGAGACAGTCTCTTGCTGAACAATCAAATTAGGCAGGAGCCTACATATATTAGCTATAGGTACGGGGTTTGTTTCATCAGTTTAAAAATGTCAATATTTGTTGCATTGGGATTGTGCTAATGAATAGGTTATGGATCCAAAGAATCTTTTATCTTACTTACTTAAGCTTAATATGTGTTTTATGGTAGGAACTGGATGAGCYTGTATGGATTTTTAGTGTTTCAAAAAATATAAGAAAAGAGAAGAAATGCTAGTAATAAATGACAGGACTGCTCCAAACACCAAAGTGCCTGTATTCACGAAAGCTTTAAGGTTTATGTTTAACATTAAATGACAAAATGGTACACAGTCACACATCAAATGCTGACCATATGCCCAATACTGCTACAGAAATAGGTACTGAAGAAATCAAGGTGTCTTTTCAGACACAGAGGAAGTCTGGAGTCTTTGTGAGGAAGCTTCTTGCCATCTAAAGCAACAGCAAAAATTAACATCAATTTCCTCCCAAGCCATTGCATCCCACTGATGAATTTGCTTCAAAGAGCTTAAACATTTGGATTCAAGTTTTCTAGATATCCTAAATGAAATGCTGGGACTATACAAAAGGAAATGTTCTTCTGATGGAGCAGCAACAGTTTCAAGGCTTGACATCGCATGAGCCTTTGGCTGCTCAGGGCTTCGATATCAGTCCAAACTCAAAAGAAGTCAGGAGACACTGTTTCAAGACGGAAGAATGTCTTCTTCTTCATGTAAAAAGACAYAGCAGATTAGTTGATAGGGATCATCTCACTACTGGGAAGAAACCCTCTTCCCAATCGCTGCCAAACAACCCCAGAACCCATGGACTCATAGGGAAGGCCAGTTTGAGTCCTCCTGCCACAGGAGAAGGGCTTCCTTCTGTCTCTTCACACACGTGGAACAAGCTGACTTCTAGTGCAGCCAGTTTCTTTTTTCCATGAGAAGCTGTCGCTCCTGATCAGTGTTTTTTACAAGAACTTAGCAGAAATGATTCACTAGCCGTTACCTCGGAGGGAGCAGCTCGCTGCTTGTATCGTGTCACTAGCAAAGCAGTGGCTCTCGTGACGTCTCGGGGGATGTTGGCAGCCCACTGGCCAGGCGGTGGTGGCTGGTGCTGCTCAGTGCCCAGAGCAGCAGCTCGCTCCCACGTCAAGCACCACAAATGTACATGTGGCAGCAGGGAGGGCTGTAGCTTCCTTATACCTCAGGGAAGTGTATAGATGCTGCGCTTCAAATGCATCTTGTTCTGTTTGCTATTCTGGTCATAATGATGCTGTTGGGACAGAAGTAACCCCATGTCTCAATGGTGAAAACTTAAAAGGCCAGAAAGTTGCCTCTGGTTCTGAGAGCCCCTGGAAGAGGTTTTAGCAGAAAGAGTTTTGGAGCTGGTTGTGTTGTAACYGTGGCACTTCTCCTGGCTGTTGCTGTCTCTGGTGCTGTCATTGTCCCCTACACCCAGCTGATGCAGTCCGTCACATCAGCTGCTCCCATAGAGCCAGCGGGACAATGTGAACAGTTGGGTGCCAGACTGCCATGGGCAGCACACCTGGAGATGCAAGAGGCCACCGGGACCACTTTGTAGGGCGCAATGTTACCCTATCTGTAAGTCTGTTGGAATCAGGGGCCCCAGTCGCTGACAGTGCTGGGGAAATGAGTTGGAATGGAACATTGAAATTCTTCCCTCAGCATGTGCTAAATGACATGCTGTGATCCTGCTGTAAGGTCTGTGGTCAACATGCAACTTGGCATGAAGCACCCCAAAATTGTCTCTGCATCTATAACTTGAAGTGGGCACAGCTCAGTGAGCTGCCAACATGCTGCAAGAGCTGGCATTTGGCAGGGGGCTTGGGCAAAGTTAAGGTTATGTCTTTGAAACGACAAGAATGATTTTTGATTTTGCTCTTTCTTGAAGGTTTGTGTTTTTTCACTACATCCTGGATTATTATTAAAAATAATTGCAAATAATAATAACTGCAACGACTCATAACTCCGTCTATAACAGTATGTGTATAATGCAATTTTGGAATATGTTTTAAAGTTTTCTGTCAGTATGCCTAATGCTCTTACTTGGGTGTTTTTTCATTCTACTTTCAAATTAGAGGAAAAATAAGATACAATCAGAGTCATGATTTGTCATTTCAACTGGAATTAGTCATTGGTCATCAAGATGCTAATCAAATTACTTGCTTCTAAAGAATTAACTTAATTTTACTAATACATATGAATAGTTTCCARCTCAGCCAAACTCTCCAACTGATTCCAAAACTTTGAGTGGGATTCATCTTATCAGGTGCCTTGAAGTTAGGCATCCAGTCTAACCTGGTAATGCTGTGACCAGAGCAGGGTATGTCACTGCTCATCTGCTGTGCTCARGGAAGGATCAGCTCACTCAAAGGGGGCCCCATATCTCCCCAGTGACTCCAGAAGAAGCCTGGACAACTTAGGCTAAACCTGGGACACCTAAATTTGAATCTTGGCCAGACTAATCCCAGTAATCCCATGCTTTTWTGAGACGTTGCCTCATTCTCAGATTCAGCTGTGGTTCCCTTGATTCAGGAGAGCTACTGGAAAGAGCATGAATTGCCAGTGTGTAGGATCATGCCATGCAGTGATCCCGGACATTGACTTGGGATTTTGGGATGCCCCAAACCTCTCCATTTGCTTGCTCCTTTCCTTTTCAGGCAGCACTGCTGTCAGGTGGATCTGGCCTGGGGCCTCTGGGTGCCAGAGGAGYGGGTGAACCTGGGCTGCAGGTGGTGGGGAGCGCTGGCCTGTGGCCAGGAGGCAATAGGAGGGTGCAGGCTGGACGTGAGGCGCGGGCTGGTGTGAGGGTGCAGGGGGTGCCACAGCAGGGCCAGCACTTGCTCTCCTTCCCATGCCGCTCCTGTACACTGTGCACCAGCAATGGCTGAGGGCACTCCCGGGACACCCGAGGGCAGGATCGGGATGGCGGGGGCAGGACCCGGCGGCAGGGCAGGACCCGGGATACCCGAGGGCAGGACCAGACGGCAGGGGCAGGACCCGGGACACCCGAGGGCAGGACCTGGGATACCCGAGGGCAGGACCCGGGACACCCGAGGGCAGGACCCGGGACACCCGAGGGCAGGACCCGGGATACCCTAGGGCAGGACCCGGGCGGCGGGGCAGGGCCCGGGACACCCGAGGGCAGGACCCGGGACACCCGAGGGCAGGGCCCGGGCGGCGGGGGCAGCGGGGGCGCTGCAGCCCGGGGCAGCGGGCAGGGC